CTCATCAGCAACCCGTGCCTCATAACATGAACGCAAAACCATACATGTCTTATTGTTAAGGCGAATCATGGTACTTGACAAGGGAATTATAAAAATAAATAAATGTACTTTGATAAGGGAAAGCCTTAAAAGTTTTAATAAACTATAACTTTTCAAATGAAATAATTGGATCTTGGTAAGAGGCCTAAAAGAAGACCATGAGAAGAGACAGTAAATGGACATTGATAAGGAATTATGGTATGTTTAAGCTAAACAAACAAAATAACATTTCTTTACCATTTTAGAACCCAACCTATCTTTTCTCCCTCCTAGGGTTAGGAGAGAAGCTGTAAAGAAAATTTAGGATTACAACTCAAAATATATTGGTTATTTTTTTACTTCAATGGGAGCAGTAAATTTTCGTTCTTCTTGAAATATATTTGCTCTAAAAATGAAAATTTTATAACAAATGAAAATTGATAATCTTTAAAAGATCACCACTTTCCAAATCATTCTTTATTTCCAACAGATCTATACAAATAAACTGAAGTGAAAACTTATATCCAATTTTTCTCTCAATTTTATTAAAACACAAAAAAAAACAAAAACAAAAACAAAAAATAGCTAAAGAGAAATTAGACTCCAAAAAATCCAATTTATATCATGCAACAAATTCAAGTTTAAAATCCATAGAATTCAAAGCTCACAAAATCAGCACTTAAAAGTCAATCAAACACAAAGCTAGATGCCTGCATGTTCTCATCTGTATTCACAACAGTAACTAAAGGCCAAAAAATAGCAAAAATGAAGATCCAAAAAAAACATTTTACCTTTCAGAAAACTGAAAAATGATGAGTGTGTATCAATGTATATATGTGCTGAGTCGAATAGATGAAGTGCGTTTTTAGAGAGAGAGAGAGAGAGGGAGAGAGAGATTGAGATTGAGAGAGAGAGAGAGAGATGAGATGCTTCTCAGGGGGTTGTGTATTGATTGAAAACCTATGCAGATGTTTTATGTTAATGTGACTGGATGGTATCTACAGTGTTGATTGGTACAGTTCATACCATTCTTCTTACAAAATACTAGTATTTGCCCAAATTTAATTTATTTATTGCTACTTGTTTGTGT